GGGGAATGGATCCCTATGATAGTTTTTTAAGGTCTCTTATAGTAGTCCCTATAACCCATTCCCCCATTCCCTACTAAGCACCAGACAGAGGAGCACGCCGTGTGTGGCGTCGCAGAGCAGCTGATGCCCGAAGCCGGGGGTGAGGCCTCGGGCACAGACTCGCCGCACGCCGTAGTCGCCGCAGTCTCGGATGCTCCGGGTGCACCGGCGGAGGCCGACGCCGAGGAAGCGGAGGCAGAGGAGGCCACCGGCAAGCGCCAGCGCAAGCAGGGCCTGCGTGCCCGGGTCTTGGCGGAGCTGAAGTCCACCAGTCCTTGCGACATGAAGGCCCGCCTGGAGTCCCAAATGGCGGAGCACGATGCCTTGATCGTCGCCGCCAGAGACGTCGAGGCAGCGAAGCAGAAACTGGTGGACGAGGCCTTGGCCGAGGTGGAGCGCCTGAGCCAAGTGGTCAAAGATGCGGCCGATCGCGAGGAGCAGGTGTTGGCACAAGCCAAGGAGCTACGGAAGCGAAAGAAGGAGGCCGCGAAGGAGTGTGTAGAGCGCCAGAAGGAGGTGGGGGTTTCCGACAGTCGGGAACCCAAATATAGTACCCCAAATAGTAGGATCCTTATTATAAGGACCCCAAACATTAAGGTACCCCTTATTTTCGGAAACTCCCAGGTGCAGCACCACGAGGACCTGCTCGTGATCCTGGGCTTCGAGGTGGAGCGGCGCCGGAAGCTTAAGGAAGAGGAGGCCAGCATGGAGTCCGAGAAGGACTCTCGGGTGCTTCGTAGGGAATGGGGGAATGGGTTATAGGGACTACTATAAGGGATCTTAAGGGTTTAGGGTTTAGGGTTTAGGGACTACTATAAGGGATCTTAAGGGTTTCCGGTTTAGGGTTTAGGGTTATAGGGACTACTATAAGGGATCTTAAGGGTTTAGGGTTTAAGGTTATAGGGACTACTATAAGGGATCTCAAGGGTTTAGGGTTTATTGTTCAGGGACTACTATAAGGGACCTCTACCATAGGGATCCGTTCCCCCATTCCCTACGAAGCACCAGACAGAGGACGCCAAGCGCCAGAAGATCCAGGAGCTTCTGCAAGTAGCCGGGCCCCCGGCAGGGATGCGCTGCGGTGCCTCAGAGTCTTCCGGGCATCTTTGTCCTACTTCATAATGCTTTGGCTATGGAGATCAGCTGCTCAGCAGAGTAGTTGTGCACTTGGTAGTGACACTTGCAGATGGTTCGGGGTTGCAGGGCGCGCGTGCCACTGAATCTCGCACATTCCGATCGAGAACTTTCCTAAACCCTAAACCCTAAACCCTAAACCCTAAACCCTAAACCCTAAACCCCTAAACCCTAAACCCCTTGTGCACGCAAGCACGGAAGAGAAAGAGATGGAGAGTGACCGGGGAGCCTCCTTAGGAGGGCTGGGCCCCTTGCCTAAAAAAGCCCAGAGACTCCAAAAGCCCTGTATAATTCGGTTTAGGGTTTAGGGTTTAGGGTTTAGGGTTCCTCAGGAAAATAATGCCTCAAAATTTCCCAGGAACCCTTAGTAAGATTGAAGGTATATGTGTAGTTCTCTAAATTAGGGTCCCCTTTTAGGTCCGCAATATAGTACCCTAATTTTAGACAACTACGTACCCATATGCCTTCACTAAGGGGTTTCACCCTAAACCCTAAACCCTAAACCCTAAACCCTAAACCCTAAACCCTAAGCCCTAAACCCTAAACCCTCAGTCTCTGGGAGCTCGAGAGTGCCGTGAGCCGAGGTCGAGGATGCCAAGAAGGCCCAGGATGAGATGCGCCTGCGAGAGAAGGACAGGGGTGGTCACGGTAGCTTCACTGTTTAGGGTGTAGAGTTTAGGGCTTATCTGTGTTATGAGTGTTACTATCACTGCTAGTGTTATTGTGAGAGAAGGACAGGGGTAATCAGAGCAGCTTTCTTGTGCATTCCTATCTTTCTTCATACTTGCATACTTATTCTTATTTTCGTTTTTTTTCATGACTGTTGTTATCATTTGTAGCTCATTAGTTTTACTATTGTTATCATTATCAATAAAAGACATAGGGTATTGTTGGCATCATGATTTTTGTCGCTTCAATATTGTTCTAGTTATCGTTTTCGGTTTGCCATCTTGGAAACTGTTACATAACTGTTACATACTATTACTCGTAGAGCACTCTCAAAGAGAGGTTCCGTTCGTTTGCTCCAGCTACTGCGGAGGAAGCTCGGCACGCCGTGCGACAACTGGAGAAGGCCCCCGAGCAGAGCAGCCCTTGCATGCCCTTGCTTTTTAGGGATCGTGGGAGTTGCCGGTAGTACCTTAATGTTTTTTGGGGTACTTGTTTGGTTTCAGAGGTTTAGGCCCTAAACCCTAAACCTTACGGCTTCAGATCCTCGGATTTAGGATTTTTGGGTTATAGATGGTTTGTCGGACCTAGTAGGGCCACAGGTGTGCTGAGGCAGGCCTGAATTGAATGCAACCTCCATCCTAATTGCATGTCTTATTTATGCGACTTCTGGGTGCGAGTAGAAGCCTCCCCGGTTTAGGGCTTTGCGGTTTAGGGTTTAGGGTTTATCGTTGAGGGTTTACGATTTAAGGTTTAGGGCTTTAGGTGTAATGTTGGCCACTTGGCATGCCTTGCGAGGAACAGACGCTCTAAAGCGTTTTTTTGTTTGTTGCATACGCCCCACTCAAAATTCCCGAAGAATGCTTGGGTAACTTTAGCCTTTGGCTAGTTCTCTAAATTATTTCCAGGTCCCTGAAACAGTACTTGAAAGCCCTAAACCCTGAGCCCTAAACCCGAAACCCCCAACCCTAAAAGGGACTTTCATTTAGAGAGCTACCCCCTTTGATGATGAGACACGAACCTGTGCCCAGGCCTTCATGTTAGGATTCCCAAGCAAACAACTCCCGCTTTTAAGCTTCGAGAGGGTTTAGGGTTTAAGGTTTGGGGGTTCAGGGGTTTAGGTATTCAGGGTTAGGGGTTTCGGGTTTAGGTATTTCCTGTAGGGTTTAGGTTTAGGGGTTGACCAAAAAGTCTGCTTTCCGCCAAGCTCCAGATCCAGCCCTTGCCCGGGCGATCCGACTGCGTTTATCTTTCGGGGAATTGTTTTCGGCTCGGGAAGACTTAGTACCTGGGCGGTCTCCGGGTGTTCCTAAGGAATCATGTTTCATGTTCGGGATAACACGCTTGGGGCCCTTGTAGGTCTCTTGTCTTATCGTACCTTCACAGAACCCTTATCGCCGCCCAATAGAAACACAGGCGTTTCTGTAAATACACGATAGTCTGCCCCAAAACCCTCTTCGAAGTCTTGAGGTCCCTATCCCAAACCCTTATAATGGCCCAGATAGCAGCCTGTGAAGGAGCCCTTAAAAAGACTCTACAGTTCCCCTTAACGGGACCAGATAGTAGAACCCTTGAGGGTACCCTTAAAGGGACCCCTGTAGGTCCCTTTAAAGGAGAGCCTTTTTACACTACCAGGAGCAGAAGCAGCTTCAGCTGGGGCCCTTTGGCCGCCGCCAGCTCGCCGCAAGGAAGGCCCGCGCTGGTCCGGTGAGGGTTCGACTGTAGGGTCCCTACAGCCCAGAGACTCCAAAACCCCTTAATTAAGGAATATACCTTAAATTATACTGGGAACCCTAAAAAGATCTTAAATGATAATGGGAACCCTAAAAAGATCTTAAATTATAATGGGAACCCGAAAAAGATCTTAAATTCTAATGGGAACCCTAAAACGATCTTAAATTATAATGGGAACCCTAATAAGATTGAAGGTCTATTCCTGAATTAAGGGATATTGGAGTCTCTGGGAGCCCTAAACCCTAAGTTGAGGGGTTTGACTATAAGGGTCCCTATAAACCACTAAACCTTACTGTTGATGATATGAATCCTGCATGACCTTAAGGACCCTAAACTTTGGGAAATTATGGTATATTCCTTATTGTGGGCAATGCAGGATTTACATCATCAGCCGTAAGTAGCTACAAAGCTTTTTGAATAAGGGCTCCTACGAGGGTTCTACGAAGAGGGTTTGGGATTAAGGCCAGATCTTTGTGTAAGTTGGAGGGGTCTTGAAGTCTTTGTTGTAATATAGAAGCCTCAACAACTGCCAATCTTATTCCTTGGGGTTCCTTATTATAAGTATAGTATAGTCTACCCCAAAACCTTGTTCTAACGATTCAGGCCCCCATAGTATTGCCGCAGTCGTTTTCAGTCTTTGGGCACCTGGGTTCTTGCTGCAAGGGGTGCCCCGCGTCTTTCCTTTCCTCTGCCAAACCCCCAAGCCCTACGTAAACCCTACGCTGTAACCCTAGACCCTACACCAATAAACCGAAACCCCAAAACCCCAAACCCTACGTAAACCCTAAACCCTACACCACTAAACCGAAACGCCAAACCCCAAACCCTATGTAAACCCTAAACCCTACACCGCTAAATCGAAACCCCAAAACTCCAAACCCTACGTAAACCCTGAACCCTACACCACGAGACCGAAACCCCCAAAAACCGGCCCAAAATCCCCAAACCCCCAGAGCCAAACTCAAGACCCTGGCGAGGCCAAGAGTGCCAAGAGCACGGAGAACTCCGAGAATCCAGGAGAGACCGGTGCTCCGACGGCTTAGGATTTAGGGTTTAGGGTTTAGGGTTTTAGGGTTTAGGGTTTAGGGCTTGGGGTTTCGGGTTTAGGGTTTCGGGTTTAGGGTTTAGGGTATAGGGTTTAGGGAGCTTTTGGGGATCTCAACCCTGATGGGGTCTATACTGTAGGGGCCTAAAGAAGTACTTATACTCTTCTTCGGGTTCCTTTGAAGGGTCACTAGAAGGGGTATTGTAAGGGTTCTATAAGTGTTTAGTAAAGCGGCCTAAAGAATTACCTATACTCTTTTTAGGGTTCCTTTAAAGGGTTACTTATTATAAGGGTTAGAAAAAGGGTTCTATAACGGTTTATTATAAGGGCCTAAATAATTACCTATTTGGGGGGTTCGTTATTATAAATGTAGTATTCCGGGCCCCAAAATCCTAGGCTAATTATGAAAGCCCCTACATTAGCATGTTCGTGTCCGGAAGGGATCAGAGTGTAACGGAGTTTAGAGGGATGCGGGGCGGGCCCTAAACTCCAAACCCCGCTAAGCCCTAACCCCTAAAGCCCCTCTTAGCCTTGTAAACCAAGCCTTAAACCCTGAGCCCGAAACCCGAAACCCCTACAGGGGGCATTAATACAAGTAATACGGACCCTACCAGGCCCATGTAAAACAGCATTTAAAACCCTAAACCCTATACCCCAAACCCTAAACCTTAAACCCTAAACCCTATACCCTAAGCCCTAAACGCTAAACAGAGAAATGTGTCCCTATGGTCTCAGGCCAGTCCGTGCCCGTCGTGGACCTCTTGCCAGTGAAGCGGGAAGGCGCCTTGCAGCCCTTTCGCACGCGCCCGGCGGAGACCGGGCTCGAATGGTTTAGAGTCTTTAGGGTTTAGGAGTTTAGGAGTTTAGGAGTTTAGGGCTTAGGGGTTTGGGGTCGAGGGGTTTAGGGTTGAGGGATGTCGGGTTTAGGGTTCAGCAAAGAACCCCTAATTCCATTCTAGGTAAAAAGGTCCTGGCACATGGTCGCAGAGGCTTATTATCATATTGTCAAGAACTCGGTAGTTCCTTCTCATTATCAAGGAGCCTTTAACATGTTGGCACACAGGGAGGGTAGGATTGAAACTCCTTAAGCCCTGAACAAACAGTTCTAGTTTCAGTGAGTGTTCAACTGTCTGTTGTAGCCCTAAACCCTAAACCCTAAACCCCAAACCCTAAACCCTAAACCCTAAACCCTAAACCCTAAACCCTAAACCCTAAACCCTAAACCCTAAACCTCTAATCTTTACGGCTCCTATAGGAGACCCAAGACCCAAAACCCACATATTTAAACTCCTATAACACCTAAGCCCCAAAACCCCCATAACACCTAAGCCCCTAAACCCACATCTTTAAACTTTAAACCCTAAACCCTAAACCCTACACCCTAAACCCTAAACCCTGGCTGCTTAGGGTTTAGGGTATAGGGTTTAGGGTTTAGGGTTTAGGGTTTAGGCCAGAACAAAGCTCATGAAACCGATCCCCATCGCATAACGTAGAAGCCTGAATTACTGACCGTGTTATTTCTTTGGGTTAACATATGGGTACTTCTCTAAACTAGGGTCCCTTTATAGCTCCCCACTATAGTACGGCACCCTTGTAGAAAGGACCCTAAAAGAGACCCTAATTTCGTGAACTACCCATATTTAGTATAGAAGCCCACAAGCTTTGTCTCTGCTTCATGTGAGAACGTCTCAAGGAAAACCTGGTCATCAGCATCGAAGACTCTCAGTGAATTTGGTTCGCACGGTGATTCGGCTCTGCTTCCCTACCGGGTCTCAGAAAAGTTTAATCTGGGTGCCTGAAGAATTAGGGTTCGGGGCTTAGGGTTTAGGGTTGTAATACCATTCCTTAGGTTTCCTTAATTTAGCCGTCTATGTTACACACCGTCGCTCAGCAAGAATGGGTAAGGTGGGTGAAGACTGCAGGTGCAAAGGTACTCCATGCTAGAGGACCCGATGCTAGGATGCAGCTCCGCCATCTCGAGACTTGTACAGAGCAGAGGCAATGTGCCTCACTGTCTTTTGAGTGACGCAGCTTTGCCATCGGCAATGTTCCACGCAGCTCTCACTCGCCTCGTTCTCGCTGCGAACGCAGCGCAGCGATCTGTTGGAGCAGCTGCTGTGATACTACCCAGAGACTCCAAAACCCCTTAATTAAGGAATATACCTTAAATTATAGTAGGATCCCTAATATGATTTAAGGTGTATTCCTGAATTAAGGGGTTTTGGAGTCTCTGGGTAGACCATACGTAGGTTCGTAGATCCTTTGAAGGCAATTCGATGGGCCGGCGCTGACAGCAGTGCGTGCAATGCTGTCAGCATGTGAGGCATGTCATCACCGTTTGGGCTGGGGTGCTCAAGTCTGGCTGATGCAGCTTCAGGCCCAAAGATGTGAAGGAGGGTGTACATCAGGGTTTGGGTGAGTGGATCAGCGTTTTTGGGGGCTCCTGCGGAATATTGTTACTTGTATCTGTTAGGTGTCATTCTGGTGAGACCAGCAATGAAAACCCTGCTTCATGTTTTCTCGTAGAAGCAGCAGCGAGCGGCGCAGAGTCTCAAAATGCGCAGCGTTCCTAAACCCTAAAGCCTAAACCCTAAAGCCTAAACCCTAAACCCTTATCCCTAAACCCTAAACCCTAAACCCTAAACCCTAAACCCTAAACCGTCGTTGGGGAGCCTCTGATTGCAACCCTGAGTCCGACAGACCGAGACAGCTCCGTCCGTCCATTTTCGAGTTGCCGACTGCAGTAGTGAGATGACCGTAACTATCTTTTGGCTCTCCTGCCAACTATTTACAAGCGAAGCCCTATAGCCCCTAAACCTATTTACTACGCCCATGATCCTAAATATTTTATTCGAGTTCCATTGCTTACTTGCGGAATATGTTCCCCAGAGAGCGACAGAACCCTTGAAAAAATTAAAGGTACAATGGCCTTCAGCTACAGCATCTCTCCTTGTTATGATTCAACGGATATTTCTTAAATAATCAAGAGGTTTGCGGCTTCCCTTATTCCGAAGGAGTATTAGGGAGACCCTGAAAAAGGGACCCTTCGTAGTCCCACTTTATGGCTCTCTGAAAAGGGACCTGTATAACTATGCGAATCAAGGCGGATGTCCTGATGACGTGTCCAGCCTCGTGCCTGGGCCGAGGCCGAGATTCGACTAGGGCTTGAGGGGGGGGGGGGGTTCTATACTACATCAATACTATTAGGGTTGAGGGCCAAGGTCGGCCCTAAACTCTATGCAATAGGTTTTAGGGCCAAGGTCGGCCCTAAACTCTATACGATAGGGTCTAGGGCCAAGGTCGGCTCTAGATCTTATACAATAGGGTTTAAGGCCGACTTTAAAGTGGAAATAATACAAAAAGTATTATGTTCGAATGTTGTGGGATTATTTCTGAAAGGTTCTAAACTAGAAACATCAAAGTCAGAACTCCTGAACCCTAAACCCTAAACCCTAAACCCAAAACCCTAAGCCCTAAACCCTAAACCCCAAACCCTAAACCCCAAACCCTAAACCCCGTAGTTCAGGAGACCGGGGCAGCTGTTCGAGTTGGCTTCTCCTGGAGCATCGCGCAAAACAGAGGCGAAGGGCCCAGAGAAACGCCGCCTCTCCGCCCGCTCTAAACGTCCCTAATGTAGGGTTTAGGGTTTAGGGTTTTAGGGTAGGGGCTTTAAACAATTACCAATACTATTTTGGGGGTCGGTGCAGCTGCAGTTTCGGGGAGTTGTTGTTTGTAAGGTCCTTAGAAGTGTAGTGCGCCCTGACCCCCGCAGGGCTACGTGGAACTGCCCTAGACATTTCGACCGACGATGGTGGAGAAATCCAAGGCCAGACAAGTTTCTCATAGGCAGAAGCAGCGCCTGGTGGGCCTCGTCGTAGCAACGAAAGCGGCGCGATGAGATTGTTTCATGTCGCAAGGCTCCTTTGTGCGTTTGTTACAATCCTGGTGGCATGGTCTGCGGTTTGATTGCTCCTTTCGAGCGGGACCGTAGGTGAGTTCTTGATATTGTTTCTGCTGGCTTGAAGGCTCTGCGTGTAGAGGCAGCATACCTTTGAGAACGCACGTAATGTCAAGCTGACGGTCATTAAGTTATTCGTTGGTCGGCCGTGATACTTCGTTGCTGAAAGCAAAATGGGGCCCGGACTCAAGCTCCATGCTCGAAGGGGCTCCTCTGTTGCCAGCATGCTTGCATATGTTGCTCGCCGGGCAAAACGAGCGCTGAATTCTGTTGTCAGATGTTGTCGGTTTTAAAGACCTCGCTGCAGCCGAATCAAGCTTCCAAAGCCTGATTTTGCAAGTGCACCGTGCTTAGGCACCATGTTTCGCAGGATCCTCGCACTGTTCCTGCTGCAGTGCAGGGCGTTCGAGTTTTGGTATCCCTTCAACCAGGAGGAGGCAGTCGGTGCTGTCAGCGAGTGTGAGGACAGCAGGTGTACGGAGTCTACAACATCCACGACTCCGGCAAGCGTGTCTTCGAAAGTCGATTTCCGGGCGGTGCCCTTGGTGGTGCCACAAAACGCTTATGCTGATGAGGACGGCTGCTGGCGCATACCCGCTGGAGGCGGAGGGCAGCAAGTAGGTGTATCCCTGCAGCAGAAGCATTGCAAAAGATTAGATGCTGGTGGGATGTAGTCGTGGCTTGCGAGCAGAGGTTGCCCAGGTTGGTTTTGCCCAGGTTGCTTCGCTCGATGTGATATGCATGCTCAAACCGTGCCAGAGTCGTGCTAGTGCTACAGGCGCCAGAGAAGGAATGATCAATGAGTATTGCCGCAAAGCTCGCTAAGCCAAACCGCCTGGATAATCTGCTTGTCCGGATCCGAAACGGAGCACGCAAGTATGCCAGCGTAGATCTCCAAACATTGATAGAGCACCACGGCGACCACCACCGCCAGGAAGGTGCGAACGCATCGTTTTTTGCTACCGCAGAAGCATTGCAAAAGGATGACGGGTGAGTTTGATTTAGCTGCTGGTGATGGTGTGACGTAGTGTTGGCTTGCGAGCATAGGTTGCCCAGAGTGACTCGCTCTGATATGACATCCGTGCCCAAGCATGCTGAAAGAGCTAGCCGTTGAAGCAAGAGGGTTCGAACACCGAGAGTCGAATGATCAATGGTGGGTGCCACAGAGCTCGCTGGGCCAAACTGACCTGAGAGTTTTGTGGCCCGGAGCGAAACCGCGTGTAAGAAGAGAGCTGGACCCGTAAAGAGGACATGTCCAGCTCACGAAGCGCTGCAAAGGGTGCATGTCCGCTGGTTGCAAAAACAGGCTTCAAGCATCCAGTCTGGCTGTTGTCAGGTCGGGGAGATTTGCAGCTGCATCCAGATGGCGTCGCAGTCCTGATGTCGTCGGGTTGTGAAGGCGGTTGGGCAACTGTCAGCTGGAACGGGCACGCTCGTTGTGGCAAATCCTTCATGGCCAGCGAGTGTACGACGCTGGATGAGAGCGTCGATCGCAACTTCGAGGCTCACTTCACTCTGGGACACTCCATGGACTCTTGCTCCAAGGGGATCTTCGTAAGTGCTCGCCCTCTACGTCATCCCAAGATGCCGGACGTTTGCATCTTGCAGATGGATGCAGAAGGCTTGAATGCCTTTGGGCGCGAGTCCACGCTGCAGTCGGACGCAGACTTGGCCCTCTTCACCTACTTGACGAGTGACTTTCCTCAAGCCATGTTTACGCATCTTTTTTGTTTCTCATGGGTGCAGCAGAGTGCCAGCCCATAAAAACAAAGACAGCAACAGGTTTTAAGGAGTTGGAACTTCGGCAACTGCAAATCAGGGTTTATCGTGATTGGGTTCTCTTACGGAAGCAGAGGCTCGGTCTGGACATTCTCCAGCAAGGGCGCTTTCGATGCCCACTCCCTTGATCTGCTCCAGATCGTCACTCGCCTGGCGGAAAACATCGACGTGGGAGAGAAGCTTGTGCATGGACCTGCTTTGCATTGGCTGCTTCAGGCTGTCCACCTTCAGCCGACGCTGAATGGACGCTCGGTGTCTGTGCAAGATTACTTCGACAGCATGCTGCGCAGCTATGACGACCCTTTGAAGATTAAAGGGCGCGAAGACAAAGATGCAGCCCGCCGCAAAAATGAAGTTCGAGAGACTCTGAGACGAAATTTTGAAGAGCTGAAGGTCACGGCCTTTCCACCTCTCACCGGTGATGAGCAGCTGCTTCGCAAACTCCCTGAAGTGCCCAGAAACGGCGCAGGCGTGAACCCAGACTTCGTTCAGACTCTGGACCTCTTCAAGGCGTCTCTCCTCGCCACCGCAAAACCAAAGAAGCTTCAGAGAGATCACAAGATGATCACGGCCCAAGGCCCAATACTCGTGGCTTTCATGAACAAGACGCTAGAGTACATCAACATTCACAAGCCGATGCCAGTCTTCAACGTTGTGGATGATTTGATCAATCGGCAGATTGATGATGCAAGAAAGGCAACAGTTGCGGGGTGGAGAGACTGCATGCACTCCCAGCTGGCGGCACAGAAAAAGAAGCACAAGCAGCAGAGGATGGAGAAGCTGAGGAGCCTGGCAGAGGTCGAGCAGGTGGGATTGCCGTACTGGTCCCCTCATCTGCGAAGCAACGTCTCGGGCTACATCAGGGAAGCTCAGGTGCCACACGAGAGTAGCAGTGTGTCCTTCTGGCATCCAGGCTGCTACCGAACCAGCTTGGCCAGGGCCTTAGAACCCTTGAACGAGGAGTCGCACAATGTACAAGAGCAACTGGTGGCCAGGGTTGAGAAGCAGCTGGGCGTAGGTCGACATGCGGATGCCACCAGCAGCGAATTCGCAACACTGCAGGAGGCAAACCGGGTGACAGCGGACACTTACAACCTCATGTTGCTTGAGTATCTGTGGGACGCGCACCTGAGTCATCTTCGCAAGTCTTTCCATTCCGTCACAGCGGAAGACTTTAAGGTCATGATGAAGGTTGTCGAAAGCGCGTATGGCAGTCTGTCTGCTGGCCCTGGAAGCAGTGAGCTGTTCTTCAGCCAGAAAACCAAGTTCATGATGCAAGCTGAGGCTTTCGTTAGTTTCGGGGAGACACTGCGGCAGATGGAACAGCAACATGACGAGAAGTTGAAAGCGGTCATGGACAGGATTGATACATACAAATCCGAGCTGTCACGCCTGCAGAGCGAGTTTGACAGTATCAATGCAGAAAGAGGCCGCTTGCAGCGTGAGATGGATTTGCAGAGGGATCAATATGAGAGCACAGTGTCAGTCCTGCAGCAAAGGCTTGAAGCCACGCAAGAAGCCAGCGCGAGCTTGAATCAGAGCCAGTGGCAACTGCGTGAACAGATGGCCGCCCGCCAGAAAGAGTATGAGGAAGAACTCAGTAACACTCAGGCGCAGTATGACAAACGGCTACAGCAGCAGGAGCAAGAGCAAAAGCGTCTTGCCAGTCAGGTACAAGGGAAAGACTCCGAGCTAAAAAATTTGGAGCAGCGTATGGAAGAGGCCGCTACTGCGAATGTGCAATTGCGGGCGGCACTGCGACATCTTCAGGAGCAAGAGTGTGGGACCAGAACCGTATTGGCATGCACTGGTCGAAACTACGAGGGTAACTGCCAACCCCTTCGTGTCTCTTTCTGGTCTCACTGCTCTCTGATAAATGCAGGGTTGCCAGACAATTCCATTAAGTCTGCCAGGATTCCACCAGGCTGCCACTTTGCCGTGTGGAGCGGCCAAGGCCACACCGGGGCTGAGGCCACATTTACCGAGGACGTGCCGGACATCAACTTGTCCGGCGGCGTCTCGAGTGCACGTGTGTATTAGGCCATTAGGCCCAAGATCCAACTGGGTGCATCAGATAACAGGAATTGAAGAGACCAGTTGAACAAGAGCAGTTCCAGTTTTGATCGGGGCTTGAAGCCTGGAGGAGCATTTCGCTGCCCTCTGGACTATGCCGGGCGAGAGGTTACACCCCTCTGCCTGAAAGCTTTGTTGCACAGCTCGGAAGGAGCACTTCTCTGCCCTTCCCCCGTTACCAACCCAGGCTCCGCTCGTGTTTGCGTGAGCAAAAAAAGGCGGTTCTGGAGCCTTGTTGGCGGCCTTCAACTCGGAGCTCTACTTCTCAGCAAGCCTCTGTGGCCACGTGATGCATCAGGTTCAGCGATCTTGGGCGATCTCTGACTGCAGCAGCGACCGTTTCCTACGCTTGCTGGCTCAAAGGTGTGCAGTTCCACACAGCATGATGCGACTGCTGTTAGGCCGTGTCCTGTGCCTTTGGGCAACAGCAGCAGCGAGCCATGCTCCACATGGAATCTACAACATGGTCCCGCTCGTGTTGCCGAAGGCAGCACTTTGGGACGAGGCCAGCAATTGCTGGACATCTCAAAATGTAGACGACTTGGTGGTACACAAGGCTGGGGCTGCCGCTCTGGAAGCTGCAGTTTGCCCAGAAGGTATAGCCTTCGAGGGCTGGCACGGCCAGGTTGAGAGAATCGATGAGGACTCGCTCGGTAGAAACATACGGGCTTGTGTACCGGGGATTTTCATGAACGCAGACGCGAAACGTGCTCCAGATGCTCCAGGAGTTTGTATATTTTTCTGGGTCACGGCTGGGGTGAATGAGATGCCAGCATCCTACAGAGCTGCCAGCACGGTGCTGGCTGCAGTGGCGTACTCCATTGTTTCCACCTGGAGGTTTTACACGGACCTCAGACACGAGCAGGTCATCAGCTTAGCAGGACCTGGCGTGCTGCCATCAGTTCTGGAAAAGGTCGGACGCCGCGATGGCTCTCTCCTGCCTGAGCCTAAACCCAAGCTGCAGTGGCTTGTTCACGAATCGATTACTGTTATCGGGAACGTGAAGATGCGAGCGCTCATCCGTGCAGTGAATGGCACCAGCAAGTTCGGTGACATGGACGAAAAGACCAGTGCCTTGCACGGAGCAATCGAGCTCATGTTCCAGCAAAGCCCGATGGTGGTGCAGCTTCCACCTGCCACTATGGTGCAAGGTGATCTGCATTCGGTGCCGATCCCCAGAACACGGTCAACCATCTGTCTAATGGAAGCAAGAGCCGTGATAAGCTCTGTAAGCACCTCCTTGAAGGAATTGCAAGGCTTGCGGCATCCGCCACATGGTGGGGACGAGCAACAGCCATTCTATCATACTTGGGCATGGACGCTGGCTTGGTTCGTTCTGTTGGGCTTGAGCGCACTGCTGCTCCACAAATCCTACAAGATGCTTCTGAAGGCGATGGAAGACATGCAGGAGAGGCTATCCAACATGCAGGAGAGGCTATCGAACCTTGAGCTGCAAGCTGATGATGGCTTCAAACTTGTCTACAACAGGCAGGCAGGCCAGCCTGTGGCCGATGTTCATCAAGATTGGTGCCTTGTTGATTGTCAGAATCTTGTTGATTGTCAGAACAGTGACAGCGACGGCGAGCGCGGTAATTCCGTGGCTGGTTCTGCTCCACCAGGCATTCCTACCAGGCAATGTCTCTCGCCGGGCTGGCACTACGTGCTATGTCGTGACAATGCTGTGGTAGACATTATTTCAGTAGCTTCGACCAGGCCACTGCGTGCAGGCCCCGGCGCAGCAGTAGCATTTTTGAAGTGTAGTGCTGCGCTGCCAATCCGGGATCGTGACTTGGTTGAGCTGCGCTACACCGTCGAGGACTGCGATTGTGTGCTTCGCATAACAGCCAACCATGCCGTCAAGGTTTACGGAAACCATGGAGAGCAGGGTGCTCTGCCTGCTGCAGATGTGAGACCTGGCGACTGCTTGTGGACACCCTCTGGTGTGGGCAGGGTGCGAGATGTTTCCTCACTTACTCTGAGCACGGAGTGCTACGAGGCAGAGCTCACAGATCCGACATCGACGATGTTCATCGGACCACGTACTAGCAGACCAGACCACTTTGTCGAAGTGTATGGGGAGTTGGCTCCGCGTCCTATGGATGATTATGTAAAGCTGCTTCGCTTCCGGCATTTCAAGAACTTCGAGAAGCTCCTTCTCGATGGTGGTGAATTGGCAGCCTGTCGAGCTGACCTGGAAGCCCGAGGCTTCTCTGCAGACGTGAGCAAGATCGAGGTGGGCTCCGGCAAGAGCTTAGGACCGGGCAAGCTCTTTGTGCACGGAGAACTAGCGGAGCGAGTGATCCACGCACTCAAATTCCGCCGGCGACCTTTAACACCACGAGATGTGGTCGTCTCAAGGGCTTATGAGAAAGCTGTTCTTGACGCCGTTCTTCACCAGGTTCCGTCCCCAGATGCAGGGCCACCCCCAAGAAGCTTTCACAAATAAATGTAGACAGTGTGTGTGCAAGTTAAGCCGCAGGGTGTTCGTTACTTTGTTTGGTCCAGGCTTTCAATTGAGCAGAAAACGAAACCGTGCGACCATGCTGAGGTGAACGCCCGCAGCAATTGGGTGTGCGACCAGGAGAATCTGGACTTGTCCAGGGCTTCTTACCTGTGGCTTCACGATGAACCACTGCGCATGTCGACGGACACAGAGACGGTCACTGTGGAACGAACTTTCATCAATATTAAGCCCTTGCCTGCAGCAGGCGCAGCAGCGGCAGGTGCAAGATCTGCAAGAAGTGCGTGAGTACGTTTTCAGTTGTCAGAAGATCCTTCATGCCTGCAGTTCAAGGCAGCACAAGACTGCTTGCCACGGCTGCAGTCTTTGTTAAGCACGCAACACCCTTCCATTTCGACCTGAAAGAGCATGTCTCTGCCTTTCAGGTCGTCCCCAGAGTGCCAGTACTTTGGAGGAGCATCTCTCTGCCCTCCAAGTCAAAGCACTTTGTTCTGTCATATGTTGGTGAATGAAGGAACTGCGCCGTTATTCATCCGCAGAGGTCAAGCACCTTTTGATTGACAATCGTTTGCTTTGCTCAGTGCTGTTCCTTTTCTGCGCATGATGTCTCGGACAGACTCAGCATGTATTCTGACACGCTGCCGGCAGAAACGTAATCTAGCCGCCATGAATTGCGCATTGCATGGGGCGCTAAGCATCCACTGGTTCTACTCTGGCGGGAAGGTCTTTCTAGGAAGTTGCTATATGCTATATGATAAATTCGTGGAAGGCGTGTAGAGCAGAGTACGTCAGCGTGTGTGCAGTAAAAGAGTAATCAAAGGGCAGTGGGCTGCAGCTTGTGATCATCATTGTATGGTTGTTGTTACATGTTTTAAGTCGCGTAACATGCTGAAAGATGCCACAGCATGGTGTCTACGAAACTTGAAAACCCTAAACCCTGAACCGTTTTTCATGGTATACAGCAATATCTTCTTGTACGGCATACTCTGATAAAGTGCTGAAATGCACCTTCTCGAAGCCAAGCCAATGAAAGTATACCTACAATGTACTATACCTATAGTCTGCATTGTAGTTCCTTTTTGGGGATTACCTTATGGGATCCCATATATATATATATGTATATGTATATATATATATATATATATGTATATGTGTATATAAATATATAACTCGATAACTAATTGGTTAAACCCTGCTTGTTTGCAGGGCCTGGCCTTTGGAACCTCCTAGACTTGAACAGCCTTTCAAAGCCCTGGGGCAAGAAGCATGCTACTGGTTTGTGAAGTCGAACCTACAAGTAACCACCCTAAACCCTAAACCCCTAAACCCTAAACCGTGCTGCGCGATTTGTTGCGGTTGCGGCTCCCAGCTTGACCGGGGCTCGGCCGAAGGGGTTGGGGACCCGCCTCGAACTCGCGAAGGGCTCAGGTTTAGGTTTTTAGGGTTTAGGGCTTTGGGTTTAGGGTTTAGGGTTTTGCAGATCTTCCTGGACTTCTTGCTTGCTTGCACTTGTGCCTTGGCGATCGCTTTTTCCGTTCCTCCGTCGTTTTCGCGCTCTTTCTCCCTTGCCTCTTGTTTGTTTACGACTAGGTAGATACTCATCCAGATGCCGCCGGGAGCTCAGGCTTCACAGGTTGCACGCGTAGGAAGTTAGAAGGGGAGGTCCCTCCTCCTCCTCCTCCTCCTCCTCCTCTGATGGTGGTGCTCATTGTACGGACATTTCGCAAGTTCGTGACGCGCTCTTCCGATGATCTACAACGTTCTAGCGTCAACTTGGAGAGAGCAAGCAGGCTGTCGAGGTCATGAGGCTTCGACCTTGCAAACACATCTCTGACCGCACATGATTAGCTTGTGACTCATGCTTGTGCGCCTGTCAGGCTGCAAGATGGCATCCGTTCACATCTGATCGATGTGGGTTCGGCTTGGCCGAATCCCGAAGCCTTCTTTGGCAAAGCAACGGCGGTGACATTACGTTGGCGAGCATGGGCAACTCCCGCAGCCTGTTGGCTCGGCACAGGTTTTTGCTATGTAACAATCTGATCAGCGAAGCTTTTCCTCAGAAGTGTCCCGCGGCCATACCCAGCAGATTGCCCAAGTCCGTCGGGGATGTGCCCTTATCTGAAGCTCCAGCCGCTGGCCCGCGAAAGACCGAATGTTTCAGGTCTTGGACATGCTGTAGTGCGAACCTTTTGACAGGTCGCTGAGCTAGTTTGTGACTCAGTTCTACTATGATGAAATGCGACGATACCTCACAGGGTTCCCTGCCATGGCTGCAGTGCACTGTCACCGGTCCCGCGGCAGGCAGCATGGCGTGGAGATCGGGCAGCCCTCAGCGCTAGCACGACGACATGGTAAACAGTCCATGTTGTAAATCTAGCAGAGTCAAAGTAAGTTCAGCCTGAATGTGTAGGGATCACAGTACTATGTACTTCAGCAGGAACGGTAACATGTATGAAAACCAGGAATGTCTGGTAAACACAAAATTTTCAGGAAGCCTTGGCTACTTTAGGATTGGCCCGTGTTCGCGGAGCGCAGCCCTGGACCCAAAAAAGGGACGTTGTCGCCAGGCCTGCCCTGCTCGCTTCGGTGTGGCTGGTTTCCACGAGGCTCCTGCAATGGTCTCTTAGGGTATCGGGTGTTTAGGGTTCAGGGTCTGCAGGGCTTAGGGTACGGTTGGGGTTTCGAGGGTTTCAGGGTTGTTAAAGGCCGTTTAGGGGGTGATGGGGTATGTTTAGGGTCTAGAGTATGAGGTTCAGGGTCGTGTGGGGACGGGTGCCTTACATGTCGAGGTCGTTTTCACACTGATCTGGCTATCTGGGGTATTCTAGGGTCTACACAAGCGTGCTGTATTATTTTCTGACAAACCATGTCTGGAGCAATGGGGCTTGGTCTAAACCTGAGGGCTTACGGGTTGTCAAAGTGTGGGGTTTAAGGATCATTGGGGTTTGAGGGTGCTTGTCAACTAGCTTATTGTTGCCGCGTAAGGTTGAGAGTTGAGGCGAGTCCGGTCTTGTATTTTGGAAGGTTTAGGGCTGGGCTGAGCCTGTGTGCGGCTTATGGGAGTTGTTCAAGAAATATATGGCACGTAATATGTGACGCATGTATGCGTCCATCAAGGTCATGTTAAAACAAGGCAGACATGAGCCGCAAGTAGCAAGGCTGAAATTAAAGAGATTTGCCATCATAGTCAGGAATGAAGTGCTACCGAGTACATCACCGCGGGATTTGTAAAGATTCATGCTTACTCCAGCAGAGATAGCTTTTTCAACGGCATGAATTCTTAGAAGGCCTGGCGTGCTGTCAACAAGCACTGAATAGTTACCAATACCGTTCCTTAGGATATGTTGTGTTGTAGCATGCAAGGATACGGCTAAGTGTAGAAGATTTAAGGTTGAGGGTTTGGGGTATGATCCCTCAAGGCTGCTTGCGAGCCGCGCGTGGTTGGCGACACCACGGCTCGTGCCTCGAGGCGATTGCAATGGTGGCTCATAGAATGCCCGGTAGTACCCTTACCGTACCCATATAGTTTCTTTTCCAAGGACTTTACTGTATAGCACCCCAAAGCAATGCAGGATTTCGTTCTCCAAATCAGCGCTTTGTATCCACCGGAGAGTACTTGGAGGACCAACGCACACGTCCGCTTACAAGTGTTACTTCCAGCATCACGTGCTACATAAGGGTAGCACAAGAGGGCTCGAGAACGTGGGGCTGGAGCCAGCGACTGCACACTAAAGGTATCGGAACATCCTGAAGGTTCGTTATGATCCTTGTCATTATAGCATACCCTAGCCCAAAACCTTACTCGCGCAAGAGGATACCCTTCCGATGGCGGAAGGCCCCGAAGCATCGGGATGTTATCTTAGGAATTCACATGTCTCGGGATCTTTCGTCAAGATAACGTAGAAGCCTGATCATGGCTAGGGTTCTGGACATGGATGGCTAGGGTTCTGAAAAAGGTTCCTGAGTTTCCGGCATTATGGGAGTTTCCGAAAATTAGGGGTACCTCATTTTGGGGTCCTTATAATAAGGATCCTACTATTTAGGGTACTATATTAGGGTCCCCCCATTTTCAGAAACCCCCTTATCGTTGCACCAGGTGAGGTCGGCTGTCGCAGCTGGCGCGACAGTGACGCTGTGCCTCAGACTTATTGGTCTTTGGGTTTGGGGTTGGGTTGTTCGGGTTTATAGGGCTGTAGGCTATAGGGGTTGGGGGCTAGGGAATTGGGTCAAGGGGAATTTGGGCCGATGTCGCCAGGGACCCCACTATCGCCCCTCACTCATCTCGGAGCGCCGACGAGGGGATGGTGGTTGAGGATTTCGGGCAAAGGCTGTTGAACAATTGGAGCCCTTTTTTCGCAACGAAATCTCGGGAACTGTTACAAGTCTGTGCCTGGTGTTGTTGAGGATTTCGGCAGCATCCGCAGTCTCAGCTGACCGCGCGGTTACTTCCGAATCCATGCTGCGAAGAGCCCAGGTCCAAACTCCACTGCCCGAGTATCTGAGCCACCGGCATGGCGACACGAGCTTCTGTGACATTGCCTCCTTTCAGGCAGGAACCCTCCTGGACCCATAAGGGCTGCTGAGGGAAGCCTGGGTCGTTTACTTGAAGCCTTAGGGGACTTAGCGCAGAAGTGGACGTCGAAGCACCCTAAGCCCTAAGCCTGCAACCGATTCACTCTCAATCAAGGTTTGGCCCTTCAACCAGAAATTCTCAGGCCTGACCCCAAAGCCCCAAACCAGAAACCCGAAGCCATAACCCCTGAGCAAGTCGATAGGAGTTCGAGAGATTCAGTGTGCTGTCAGAGCACCGGCCAGCACGGATGGTATGGCAGTAGCGATGTTCTGGATGCCCATATCTTACATATATACACATATACGCTACCCCCCCAAGGATATGTATGTGTGGATGCATGTATGTATGTATGTATG